ATTTAAAAAAAACAAAGAGTTTTGAAGCCATGAAATGACGTGGAAGAACCCTCCATATTACTAAGTCCATATTACTAAGTGAAAAAAAAAAAAACAATCTGAAGGGCTACATACTGTTTGATTCCAATTATATGACATTTCAGGAAAGGCAAAACTATAGAAACATAAAAAAAAAATCAGTGGTGATGTCAGGGGTTAGGGGTGAGCCGGCTGAATAAGAAGAACGCAGAGGTTTTTTAGGACAGTAAAAATACTCCATATGATACCATAATGATGGATACATGTCACTTTACATTTGCCAAAACCCATAGAATGTACACAAAGACTCATTCCTAATGTAAGCTATGGGCTTTGGTGCTAATGATGTGTCAGTATAGGTTCCTCAATTGTAGCAAAGGTACCACTCCGGTGGGGAAGGCTGATAATGGGCAAGGCTATGCATCTGTGAGCACAGGGTTACATGGGAAATCTCTGTCCCTGCTAGATATTGCTGTGAACCCAAATCTGGTATAAAGTCTATTGAAAAAAGAATAAGAAAAATGAACAGGGCGTAAAATACCATCTTGTGGATAATGGGAGTCCTAGAGAATATCTGAAGAAATAATGGCCAAAAATTTTCCAAATTTGATAAAAGGAACAAATGTACCCGCCAAAGAAGTCAATGAACTCCAAAATGATAAAGCCAAAGAAATCCACATTGCAACACCTTATATTCAAATTGTCAAAAGCCAAACAGAAAGAGAATATAAATCTAGACAAAAGTTGATTTCTGATCAAAAACCATGGAGACAAGAGGACAGTAGGATAACATTTTTATGGGATGCAGCAAAAGCAGTGCTCAGGGGAAAATTTACTACTGTAAATCTCTACATTAAAAAAGAAGAAAAGGTCCCCTGGGTGGCTCAGTTGGTTAGGCGTCTGACTTTGGGTCAGGTCATGATCTCACAGTCTAGGAGTTCAAGCCCCGTGTAGGGCTCTGTGCTGACAGCTAAGAGCCTGAAGCCTGCTTCAGATTCTGTGTCTCCCTCTCTCTCTGCCCCTCCCCTGCTCACTCTCTGTCTCAAAAATAAATAAACATTAAAAAAAATTTTTTAAGAAGAAAGACTGCAAGCCCATAGCTTAACTTTATGACTTAAGGAATTGGAAAAAGAAGACCAAACTAAACCAAAAGCTAGCAGAAGAGAAAAATAATAATGATTAGAGAGAAATGTGATAGACAACTAGTAAAATCACAGAGAGAATGAATGAAACCAAAAGTTGGTTCTTTGAAAAGATCAACAGAATTGAGAAACCTTTAGCTAAACTAAGGGGGGAAAAGCAAATAACTAAAATCAGAAATAAAAGTAGGGATATTACTACTGGCTTTACAGAAATAAAAAGAATAGTAAAAGAATACTAAGAACAATTATATGCCAACAGATTATAAGACCTACATGAAAATGGACACATTCCCAGAAAGACACAAATTACCAAAACTCACTCAAGAAGAAATAGAAAATCCAGGTAGGCCTATAGCAAGTACAGAGAATTGTAAACCTCTAGACATGAAAAACCCAGGACCAGAAGCCTCACTGGTGAATTCTTTCAAACATTTATTGATTTTTTTTTTAATTTTCATTTATTTTTCAGAGAAAGAGAGAGCGGTGGGGTGGGGGGGGGAGGGTGGGAAGAGCGATGGGAACAGAGGATCTGAAGCGGGCTCTGTGCTGACAGCCAAGAGCCTGATGCATGGCTCAAACTCACAAACCGTGAGCTCATGACCTGAGCTGAAGTTGGACGCTTAATCGACTGAGCCACCCAGGTACCCAATTCTCCCAAACATTTAAAGAAAAATTAATAATAATCCTTCTCAAACTCTTCCAAAAAGTAGAAGAAGGAAGACTTCCTACCTCATTCTATGAAGCAAGTATTACCCCAACTCCAAAGGCTGACAAAGACACCACAAAAAAACTATAGACCAGTATCCTTTATGAATGTAGATACAAAAATTCTTAACATTAAGATCAGTCACAAAACAAGGAGTCCTACTTCCACCAAAGCTATTCAACATTGTACTGGAGGTTCTGACTAGAGCAATTAGGCAAGAAAAAAAGGAAAGGCATTCACTTAGAAAGGAAGGCATAAAACTATCTCACTGTCACATGATATGATTTTATACGCAGGAAATCTCAAAGAATTAAAGGAAAATTACTAGAGCTAATAAATGAATTCAGTCAAGTTTGCAGGGTACAAGACCAACATACAAAAATCCACTGTCTTATTATATATAAACAATAAATAACCTGAAAAGAAAATTTACAAAATAATTCATTTACAATTGCACACAAAAGAATAAAATAGGTACAAATTTAATCAAGGAGGTGAGAAATCTGTACACAAGGAGGTGAGAAATAGAAAACATTGCTGAAAGCGATGAAAGGATAATTAAATAAATGAAAAGACAACCCATGTTCATGATTGGAAGACTACTGTCAAAATGCTACCCAAGGCAATCTACATGTTCACTGTAATTGTATCAAAATCCTAGAAGAAAACATACTAGAAAATCTTTGTTACCTTGAATTGGGAGATATGACATCAGAAGCACAATACATAAAAGAACAAATTGGTTAACTAGATGTTATCAAAACTGAAAACTTCTGTTCCTCAAAAGACAGTGTTGGGGTGCCTGGTGGTTCAGTCAGTTAAGTGTATGACTTTGGCTCAGGTCATGATCTCATGGTTCTTGGGTTAAAGTCCCGCATCGGACTCTGTGCTGACATCTCACAGCCTGGAGCCTGCTTCGGATTCTGTGTCTCCCTCTTTCTCTGCCCCTCCCCTGCTCGCACTCTGTCTGTCTCTCTCAAAAATAAATAAACATTTAAAAATTAAAAAAAAAAAAAAAAAAGACTGTTAAGAGAAACACCAGACAAGTGTATGTAATGGGGGCGGGGGGAGGGGGAGTGGGAATCTTTACAAATCATAGGCCTGAAAAAATATTTGTATTGTGAACATATAAAGAACTCTCATAACTCAAAAATAAGAAAACAACTCAATTTTAAAAGGGGGCAAATGATTTGAACAGACACTTCATCAAATAAGATATATGGATAACAAGCATATGAAAAGTTGTTCAATGGCTTTATCATTAGAGAAATGCAAATCAAATCCACCATGAAACATTACACCCTTATGAGAATAACTAAAGTTAAATTAAAATTAACACAATACCAGGTGTTAACAAGGTTATTGAGCAAACAGAACTGTCAAATGCTGCTTGCGGAACTATAAAACTACTCTTGAAAATATTTTAGCAGTTTCTCAAGATATTAAACATACTCCTACCATATGATCCATTCATTTACCTCCTAGGTATTTCCCCAAGAGAAAAGGAACTATATGTCCGTACAAGGAATTGTACATAAATGTTCATAGTGGCCATATTTGTAATAGCCCCAAATTGGAAACAACCTAAATGTGCCTTCAATGCATGAATGGAGAAACAAATTGCGTATATCCATTCAAAGGAATGCTATTTAGCAATACAAAGCAACAAACCATTAATATACACAACTACATAAATGAATCCCAAGATAAGTATATTGAAAGAAGCCAGCCAAAAAAGTACATCATATATGATTTCATTTATATAAAAACTCTGGACAATGAAAATTATAGTGACAGAAAGCAGATCATTGGTCACTTGGGAGTGAAAGGAGGGGAAGGGAAGGAGGCACAGATTAAAAGGGGCACTAGAGGGGCGCCTGGGTGGCTCAGTCAGTTTAGTGTCCAACTTCGGCTCAGGTCATGATCTCGCGGTCTGTGGGTTCGAGCCCCGCGTGGGGCTCTGTGCTGACAGCTTGGAGCCTGGAGCCTGCTTCGGATTCTGTGTCTCCCTCTCTCTCTGTGCCCTCCCCGCTCACACTCTGTCTCTCGAAAATGAATAAATGTTAAAAAAAATTTTTTTTAATAAAAATAAATTTTAAAAAAAGGGGGGCACTAGGAAAAGTGTTGAGGATGATGGATATAGCCACTCTCTTGACTGTGGTGATGGTTTCACAGTGTAAACATAAGTCCAAAGATATCAAATTGTGTACTTACAAACATGTGCTTCGTTGTGTTTCAACTGTTGTGCAATAAAAAAAAAGTTGTTTCAAGAAAAAAAATTCACGGACAACAGGCCAACCTTTTAGAATATGCATTCTTAGGGGACACTATTCTCAGGGAGAAAACTTCAGCAAGCCAGAGATAACTGCATAAATTGTGGCAATAGGATCTATAATGAGCAATGAAACTGTAACTATAGAATTGAGACTAAAATAAATATGGGAATTATGCTAACATATTTTTGTAGTCTCCTAGAATCCATTCCCTTCCCAGTGTGACTTTGCAGCTGGTTCTCTGACTTGCTTTGGCCAATGGAATGTGCAAGGAATGATAGTTTGGAGTTGCTTCTGCTCATTATTCTTGAATTTCTTCCGTCATCATGAGGGGAATATGATCTGGCCAACCCATGGTCCAAGGAAGATTACAGAGCAGGACCAACTTTCACCTTGAAACCAAATCCACCTAAACTGAGTCTATATTAATTATCCTTCAAATACATGACAGAGAATAAATGTTTCTTCTGTAAGCCAGTGAGTTTGGGGTGGTTCATTATGCAATATGATTACAGTAATAGCTATTGGATACATACAAATATATACTACGATGTATTAACTCTATACTGAAATGAGTAATTAACATATGTTTGTTGTGGCGGAGAAAAGGGAGAAAAGTAAAAGATAGGGAAGGTATGCAACCTTATTTTTACTCATCAAAATTTATCAGATTAAGTTGACAAATGAAGTGATAGATGTTTAACTATATCTAAAACTACAAAGATAAATATGAAGAGAATATGACTGGGGCTCCTGGGTGGCTCAGTCGGTTAAGCGTCTGGCTTCAGCTCAGGTCAATTTTCACAGTTCGTGAGTTTGAGCCCCGCGTCGGGCTCTGTGCTGACAGCTCAGAGCATGGAGCCTATTCCGGATTCTGTGTCTCCCTCTTTGGAAGAAACTGAAGAAAGAAGAAATGGAGGACTAAAGAAATTATACAAAAGTATAGTTATAAGAGTAACTAACTGAACAAAAATAAAATTCCTAAATTATAAAATGAAATATATTATAAAACAAAGAGCACTATGGTGAAAGATATTTTGAGATATCAAACAGAAAGCATGATATATAATAACAATATTAAATGCAAATACATATATATTATTAATGTATATAAATGTGTTAAACAGGGTGCCGGGGTGGCTCAGTCATCTAAGCCACTGGTTTGGACTCAGATCATGATCTCACAATTCATGGGATTGAGTCCTGCGTTGGGCTCTATGCTGACAGCATGGAGCCCACTTAGGATTCTCTCTCTCTCCATCTCTCTCTGCCCCCTACCGCCTCTCTCTCAAAATAAATAAATAAACTTTAAAAAATAAATGTGTTAAACTATTGTAGTAAAAGAAAAAAAAATCTGATTATATCCTAAAGAAAAGACTAGTTTTTGCTGTAATCCTCTGACCTAATAGAATGTAAGTCAGAGAGGTGGAAAATTAAAAGGGCAAGTAAAGGTACACTATGATGTTACAACTAAACAAAAACCACTATCACAACAAAAACCAGGATCGTGATGTCAGTATCAGGATAATTTGAACTGAGGACAAAGTGATGACCACTTCATTATGATAAAGAGACAACCATGAATATCTGTGAATCAAATAATGAAGTATCAACTATAAAAGAAGGAGACAGAAGAAATAAAATCATAGTTTGGGGTGGGAAATGTTAACTGACCTCTTGAAACCCATGACACATAAAGAGGGGGAAAATAGAAAAACTTAGGTGACATTACTATTTTTTTTAATTTTTTTAAAACATTTATTTATTATTGAGAGACAGAGAGAGACAAAGCATGAGCAGGCGAGGGGCCGAGAGACAGGGAGACACAGAATCTGAAGCAGGCTCCAGGTTCTGAGCTGTCAGCACAGAGCCCGATGCAGGGCTCGAACTCACAAACCACGAGATCATGACCTGAGCCGAAGTTGGATGCTCAACGGATGGAGCCACCCAGGCGCCCCCTTAAATGACATTACTATTAAGGTGGTTCCAATAGATCCATTAACCCTGATATTATGAACACAGAAACTATACCTCCTTTTTAAATACTCGTGGAACATTCTCTAAAGGAAACTATATAGTAGATTTCAAAGAAAACCTAAAAAATAATCTCCAAACGAGAAACAATGCAAAAACATACTCTGATCTGGAAAAAGTCTTAAATACCCAAGTTCAGAAAAAAGAATAAAATAAGTATCAAACGTAACAAGTTAGGAAAAGATGAAGAGGGGTGGCTAATGAGTATAGGATGACAAAAGTCCAAAATTAGATTGTGGTGATGGTTACATGACCCTGTGAATATAATAAAAACACTGAATTGTGAACTTTAAAGGGATTAATTGTAGAGTATGTGAATTATATCTCAATTAAGCCGTTAAAAGAAGGATTTAAGAATAATACAATTGGGTAGGAAGAAATGAGATTTAAAAGTCAATAAAATAGATAAACTATTAGGTAATATAATCAAGAAAAAATTGAGGACATTTAACACAAAATAAGATATAAAGGGAACATCCTATGGCAACAAAGCTAACCTCCCTAAAGACACTGGATGTTTCTTCCCTTAGTGGAATTGTACCAACCCCTTAAAGAAAGGTAATTTCAGTTTTATCTACTTAAGACCGTAGAAAAGGAAACTTTCTTTTTTTTTTTTGAAAAAGAAACTTTCTAATTAATTTTGTATAAAGTGATTATGCCCAAACTCAGAAAAGACTAAGAAATGTTCAAGACTTTTTTGAAGAAGCACTTTTACAAAATAATAATAATAATAATAATAATAATAATAATAAATAGAATAAGGAGGGATATTATAGTGTGAAACTGAATAAAGAAAACCTAATTCAAAGTGGAGTCACGAAGCAATGAAGGAAGGGTTCTCATGTCTGTGCCACTGGTCATAGCTGACTTTACATACACCAGAAGATTTTCTCCTCACCCAGCAACAACCCAGCCAATGAGAAATCGGCACAACCCTAAACTCTTGCTCTCCTCTGATATATTTTTGTTCAAAGCAACCCCTCCAAACTTTCTCCTTTCCTCTATAAAAGGATGATCTCCTCCCTTGTTCTTTGGACTTGCCTAGGGATCCCCAAGATTTGCTCCTCCTCAATTCTTCCCCTATTCCCAAATAAGGTTGATTTTGTTGGTTCAACTGCTCACCTTCTTCTTTTAATGGATGACATTTCTTGGTGTTACCAATGGGATCCAAAGGAGATAAACCCTTGAGAACTACCCACAGGACCCACCTGAGCCCCTTGTGTTCTTCACAAGGTGCAGTCTTCTTCCCTTTGGGTTTGGTTAAGTCTCCTCTTGGATTCAAGCTCTCTCCTTTTGGTCAAGCTTTTGGACTTTATTTGGGACCTCTTTTCATGAAAGTACCACCCTTCCTGCTGATTTTCTTTTTGTTTTCTAAATTTCTGTCTTCCTCCTCCTCCTCCTCCTCCTCCTCCTCCTCCTCCTCCTCTCCTCCTCCTCCTCCTCCTTCTTCTTCTTCTTCTTCTTCTTCTTCTTCTTCGGTTTATTTATCTTGAGAGGTGAGAGAAGGGGCAGGGAGCGAGGGGCGAGGGAGAGAGAAACCCAAGCAGGCTCTGTGCTGTCAGCATGGAGCCTGATGTGGGGATTTGATCTCAAGAACTGTAAGATCATGACCTGAGCTGAAACCGAGAATTGGATGCATAACCAACTGAGCCACCCAGATACCTCTGTTTTTGTTGTTGTTCTGGTTGCGTTCTGAGCTCTCCAAGTTTACTGTGCATACTTGGTCTCTATTTCTGTTTATTCCCTTCTGTTTCTGTTTCTATTTGTTGAAGTTTCTTAGCAAGTCACCCATCCTATTCAAAAGGGGTGGGAAAACACATAATTCCTGGTGTTGTAAAACAGCTGTTGGAAAACAGGGCCCCTTGTGGTATATTTTAGAGAATCCAAAGGCAAGATAGGCTCCACCTAATCCTTGGACCAGGTTCTTGTGCCTTTCTGAAAAATGGGTAAAGTTTTGGATACTTTGGAATTTTATTTTATTTTATTATTATTTTTTAATGTTTTATTTATTTTTGAGACAGAAAGAGACAGAGCATGAGCAGGGGAGGAGCAGAGATAGAGGGGAGACACAGAATCAGAAGCACGCTCCAGGCTCTGAGCTGTCAGCACAGAGCCCAATGCAGGGCTTGAACTCACGAACCGGGAGATCAGGACCTGAGCCGAAGTTGGACACGCAACCGACTGAGCCACCCAGGCGCCCCGCTTTGGAATTTTAATGGCCATTCTGGGGAAACTTTCTTGTAGATAAATCCACCATTTAAGGTGATCCATGAAAAGAGAAGATCCTACATATTTCGGCAACAATGAAATGCATTCCTAGATCGGTAGAGAAGGTCCTAAAAGACAAAATGACTCCAAAAACAGCTCTAACAGGAACCTTGTAGCATACAAATGCAAAATCTTTAGTAAAAAACATTGGCCATCTAAGGAGGTAAACTTAACTTAGGCCATCTGCCAGAAACATAATTTGGATCCAACTATTCTTTTGAGTTTTGTACCTGAGATATAACTAAAAATTTTAAAACAGAAGTTATAAGATTTCCGTGTCTGCCTATATATTATGCATGTCTATGTATGTATATTATAGATATGTGATATTTTCCTACCTCTGGATGGTATTGCCAAAATTAATTTGTAAATGACTCCTTTTTATTGGCTTCAAAACAATAAGTACTTATATAAATGAAGTAGACTAACCCAAATGTTTTTTGAGTTCACATGGTCTGAGATAAACTAAAAGCTGGTTTAAGTTTGTCGGTTTCATAAAAACAAGCATGTCTTCTACCCTATGACCCAGCAATAGCACTGCTAGGAATTTACCCAACGGATACAGGAGTGCTGATGTATAGGGTCACATGTACCCCAATGTTTATAGCAGCACTTTCAACAGTAGCCAAATTATGGAAAGAGCCTAAATGTCCGTCAACTGATGAATGGATAAAGAAGTTGTGGTTTATATATACAATGGAATACCACTTGGCAATGAGAAAGAATGAAATCTGGCCATTTGCAGCAACGTGGATGGACCTGGAGGGTATTATGCTAAGTGAAATAAGTCAGGCAGAGAAAGACAGATACCATATGTTTTCATTCTTATGTGGATCCAGAGAAACTTAACAGAAGACCATGGGGGAGAGGAAGAGGGAAAAAAAAGTTAGAGATGGAGAGAGCCAAACCATAAGAGACTCTTAAAAACTGAGAATAAACTGAGCGTTGATGGGGGGTGGGAGGGAGGGGAGGGTGGGTGAGGGGCATTGAGGAGGACACCTGTTGGGATGAGCACTGGGTGTTGTATGGAAACCAATTTGACAATAAATTTCATATTAAAAAAAATTTTTGATATTTTTCTACCTCTGGATGGTATTGCCAAAATTAACTCTTCAGAGTCATCAACATTAAATATAATGCAAATAAACAACTGTAATTCTACTTGGGTTTATGAAGTCAAATAAGTTCATCTTACCTCAATTGCAAAGTTTGTCAGCAGGAAGATTCCCTGGAAATGATGGCTGATCTTGTCTAATGTCTCGTTAAGCTTTTGTGAGTAATCTAAACATAATTTGGGGGAACAAAGGATTTAGATAGATGAAATGGAAAAATAATTTTTTAAGTTGCAGTAATTCTGTTTTATGGTATGCGTGCTTAAAAAATACCTTCCCCAAATATTTTTGGTAACTTGAAACTTTTAGAACTTTGCTAAGTTAAATTAAATGATGGAACTTCATTGAGTATCTGGATCATTTTCCAAACAAGATAAAATACTAAAGCATTAATTACTGAACATAGGTTTCTCTACTATTGATTTTCCATTTCAGAGAAACTAAAGGTAAATTTGGGTCTGTAAGTAATGATGTCTTGTGCCACGTTGAAAGAGTATACTAGTTAAAAGAGCATATGCTTCCAGAACTGTATTTATAAATGAAATACATGAAATGTATAAATACATGAAATGTATTTATAAATTTGTCAGTCCATTATTGCTTACTTCTTAGTTTTCAGAAAGAAATTTTTTGCATGGTTAAGACTGAAATGGATTTATTTAAGTTTAAAAAAAGAGAAAGAATTTTAGTATCAAAAGTATACGGGTACAGAATTAAAATTTGTCTTTTCCATTAAAAGGACAAAGTTTTCTTAGATTATTTTTTTTGCTATTAATAAGAAATTATAAACAAAGTTTCTGTACCTTCAATGTAATCTCCCTAGGAAACAAAGAATCTGTGTTTTATCTTTATCAGTTCTTTGATTACCTAGGGAAAGAGTCTTTTCTATTAAAAGGAGCTAAGGCTTTTTGCAACTAGGTAACCTTCTGTGTTTGCCTTTAAAATATTTTTGTCACTTTGGTCAAATGGATAATTATGTCTTGTTTCATAATTTTCTGTGGTCCTATGTGGTCAAGTGTTAAAGTCTTTTTATATTTTTGACAAACTTCCCAAAACTCTGGTTGAAATGTTTTTGACCTTGAACTATCTTGTGTGTTTCCAGAGGGTTCCTAGAACATCTCAAAGGATTTGTTTTCTCTCCCTACAAAAAAGGGAAATGTTAAACTGATTAGGCTTATTTAATATGTTAAATTACATGAGAAGCTTGTCAAATAAGAAGTAATACTAAACCTTATTTACCTTATATTTGTATATGTATATGTAATTATGTGCTCCAAAGTTTATATGAAATCCTTAAAATTCTGATATGTCCTGACATATTATCAGTCATAATTTAAAAATATATGTCACAGAAATAAGCAAGTTTTCTTGTCAACTCCATTGTGATGAACTGTTCATCAGATCTTCAATAACGGGCATTTTTAAGTCTTTTGTCATTTGTACCCAGTTATTGTTTTACTCTGATGCTTTTGCAAATGTATTTCATCTAAGGAGAAATTCATGAAAAGGACTCTGACAAGTACTGTAGAATACAGGTCTCTGAAAGCTTTAGGATCATATAACTAGGTTGAAGAAAACGTTTTCTCTTAAGCGATCTATGACTTACAACAATTATGTAAAATCTTTGTGAACAAAGATGAAATGATTTTTTTTCTTCCTAACTGATCCCTCCAGAATTCAGACACTTGAGTACTTTTTCTCATGGCAGTATAGTTATTTGCAGAAGTTCAATAAGAATCTGTTCTCCTTGTAAACAGGCCACTGCTACCTCCGTGGCTAAGATCCTATTAGAAAGGATCATTCCTACTAGGGGAACCCCTCTTCCCCCCCACCTTTGAACTTCCTAGTGATCGGGGAACCCACTTTACCGGTCAGGTGCTTCAACAAATTTGCGCTGTTTGGCCAGTTTTACAACATGTTCACGGTGCCTACCACCCTCAATTTTCAAAACTAGTTGAATTACTAACTCATCATTAAGACTCAATTAGCAAAATGTGTAGAAACCCTTCAAATTCCCTGGACAAAAGCACTGTCATTGGTTTTTCTGAATCTCAGATCCGCCCCTTTTGAAACCGGTAAACTCCCTTTTTTGAGATAATCACAGGATGCCCAATGCACTTAACTAGTTCCTGCTTTTTTTGATCCACAGCTGATAAAAGGGAATATACTTCAGTTTTGCCAAGGTCCAATAAAATCCTTAAAGAGTGATCATACTTAGTACAACAATCTTTCCACAGTGAGCTCCCAGGAGACAAAGCCATTAGACCTCATAATCTGCAGCCTGGAGATTTCATCTTCTAGGAAAGAAGCCTTCAGAAAGATTCCCTCCAATCAGGCTGCCTGGAAGGGACTTTACCAGGAATTTAAGCAAATGGCAGCTGAGCCAGACAGCTTTCCCAAAATGATAGGACTAGGCCTGTTTACTTTTTCTTGCTATTCTCACCTTACTTTCCTTCTCTCCTCCTTGGAAAGGCAATGCTCTTATCCACACTTCCCAATCTATTTCAAAAGGGGCAAATCTTTCTGACTGTTGGATCTGTCACCAGAAACTCCAATCTATTCACGATGTCAGAGACCCCTTGCTTTTACAAGTAACCGATTTCTCCTTAGTCTCAAATGTCATTCCTGAGTACACGCACAAGCCTTTGGATGTTACCTGTGGGGTTAGGATACTACGGCCAGGTGTTCCCCTACTTTGTTTCAACCTTTCCCCAGTAATGACCACATTAGCTCAAATAGACACCTCCACCTTTGCCAATCATACAACCTTTGCTTCCTCCCAACCCGTGTCTTTTCCTTGCTTAAATGTGATCTATTCCCTGTATCCAAAGGAAATACAGATGGACTAACTCCTCTTTGCAAGGCTTCTAGGAAACACCACTTTAGAATGGGATGGTACCTCACAGAATGTCATCCTAATTCCCCTGACCCCTGGCTTGAAAAGTTCAATCAGGAAATTCCAGCTAATGAATCTATCAACAACCAGGTCTTAGCTGAAGTCCTCTGTGCTCCATCTGGTTTCATTTTTGTCTGCAGTGAATAGCATTTTCACGGGTATATGAATGTTTAGATAGCTGGTGAACTGGACGCCAATGCTTATTGGGACATTTAACCATCCTTGTTGACATGCATAACAAACCAAAAGCCTTCCATTGGTTCAGCCATTGAACCACCATGGCTGCCTTGAATGGGAACTTCAAGAGGCATTCACGACTCCATAGGGAAAGCTTTTCTTCTTTGGGTTGCGGTGAATCCCAATGAGCACCTGATCAGAAATCTCTCCCTAACATTAGAAGAGCTAGCCAATTCCACACCAAAGCAGTAGCAGGCCAACAATGATCATTTGAATCATTGGCTAATTGCTTCGCCCTTGATTACTTGCTGAACAAGGAGGCATTTGCGCAATGGCAGACACCATCTGTTGCACCTTATAAATGCCTCTAGAGAGGTAGAAACTCAATTACACAAGATCAGGGAACAACTGCACTGGTTACAACAAATTTCACCTGACTTCCCTGGTCCTTTGGTTTGTTCAGTTGGCTACCTTCAAATTTAGGTCATGGTTTCGAACCATTATACAAATTGGATTTGTCATGCTACTTTTAATTCTGTTTTGCATAATTATTTTTAAACTTGTTGTTTGTCAAATCTCTCCAGAGGTGATGCATCAAATGGAATGATGTTAGCTCAACATTTTGAGATGATTTCAAAGCTTAAAATCTAGACAAGATACGACCTTAAGAGGGGGAAATGCCTGACAGCCCCTTCTTCTACCTTCTTTCTTGTTCAGATGTGGTTTCTATGGTTTTTATCACCACCTGCTCTCCCTGCAACATGGGACACGACTCCAAGGAAAAGTCCTTCCTGGCACTAAGTGACACTGATAGACAAAAATGTTTAATTAAGTAAATAAGTAACCAAATGCTTGAGCAGCAATTGTCTCAAGGAAAGATCTTGGTCAAAAGAGGGAAATGTGAAAATGAATAAAGGAAACCTAATTCAAAATGGAGAAGGGAATCAATGAAGAGGGTGTTCACAGGTACCACTCTTGGCAGCCTACCCTACATACTTCAGTAGGACGAAGCTCACTTTACATACCCCAGCAGGAAGGAAGATTTTCCTCTTGCTTGGCAACTACTCAGCCAATGAGAAGTTGCCACAACCTCAAACTCTTGCTCTCCTTAATGAACTTTGGCTCAAGACAACCCCTTCCAACCTCTTCCTTTCCTCTTAAAGTACGCTTTCTTCTTTCTTCTTCAGACCTGCCTGTGGTTCACCGTCGTTTGCAACTCCTCTGCTATTCCTGAATAAACTCAATTTTTCTGGCTATTCGCTTACCTTTTTCTTTTAATGATTGACAATAGTCCTGAATGGGAAGGCAGTTTTGTAAATATGTCAACTATCTTCCCAATTAATCTTTTAATTGAATACATTTATGACCAAAATCTTAAAAGAATTTGCAATGCAATTTGACAAATCCTTAAAAAACATTTTTAGTGTGGAATTTGTCAAATATATTGAAAACTGGAATAATAGTTTAATGTATCCATCACCTAGCTTCAATAACTACTAATACATGGTCGATCCTGGATAGTCAACTTTTAAGTTCATCTAAAGAGTTATTAAACAGTCATGAAGTTTTAAAAAGACCACAGAGGGGACAAACTTCTCTTATTTTTAGCTAATGGAGCTATTGTAGAGAGGCCTTAAACAGATGCATGTTTTTGAGGAAATTTAGAACATGAGAAAGGTACGGTTTCACAGACCGGGTTGCTCAGTCCGTTGGGCATTCAACTCTTGATTTCTGCTCAGGTTATGATCCCAGGGTCGTGGGATAGAGCCCTGCGTGAGGCTCAGTGCTAAGCATGGAGCCTTCTTAAGATTCTCTCTCTCTGTCTCTGTCTCTCTCTCTTTTCTATCTCCCTCTGCCTCTCTCCCCTGCTCAATCACCCTTCCTTCCTCCCTCTCTCTCTCTCTCTCTCTCAGATAGTAATAATAAAAAAGGTACAGTTTCAAATCAGTGTGGAAAGGAGGACTTAAAAATTAATAAATATCATTGACTCAATTGACTACTCAGTTGGAAAGAACTGAAGTTAATTAATGTACAACAAATCAAAAATAAATTTCATATAGATTAAGGGTCTCAATATAAAAAAGTAAGGCTATAAGAAAATTAGAAACAATTATAAGGAATGGATTTAAAATCTTGGTGTCAAATATGGCATCCAAACCATATGAAAGTAATAGATTTGATTGCATGAAAATTTTGAACATTTGCAGAGTGACACAAAGTTAAAAGATGACAGCCTGAGAGAAATATATGCCACACAGACCAAGGAAAGGCAAAGACATGGATATATGAAATAGGTGGAGTGTTTAGTAATCTAAAGAAGTTTAGCGCCACCCAAGCAGAAGGAACATGGCTTCCCATGTCCAGTCCCAGAAATAGGTTCAGTGATGGAATCTGGGTGGTTATTTTCTTCGGTATGTCTTCCTGGAATTTTCCACTTTTTACAATGATGGAATAGTACATTTGAAATTTAAATTTTTAAAAAAATCTGTAACAACTAAAACTCTGGCGTGCCTTACATTGTTCCCTATTTAGAGTGTTAATATATCGCCAACTTTGTTTTAGGTTTTAAGACAGGGAGGCACCTGGGTTTTTGCTTCCTTTGTGTCACCATGATACTTATTACAGAAGTGAGCCTTTATACTGAAATGTTCGGGGGACTGGCTAAAACAATATTGATCCTGTAGGTGTGGGAGATTTGGGTGCCAGCACATGAGCACCTCACACTTCCTCATTACACATTTCTCTCTAACCTCTATCTCGGTTCCAGCCGCATCAGTCACTCCATCAGGCCAGTACACATGACACGCAAGAATTCATTCCAGGGGCGCGAGTCAGCGTGACTCCCGCGTCTCCAGATCCGGAGCTCGCCTAGGAACGCCCCCTCCCCGCCCCTTCGCTTGTTGTGTTGTCATCACGTGGCCCTAGCGGGCCCTGACGTCAGGGACGGGGGAGGGGCTGCGCAGGCGCAGAAAAGGGGGCGGGGGACTCGGCTTGTTGTGTTGCTGCCCGAGAACCAGAGACGGTCCTGCTTCGGCCGCGGGTCTTCCAGCCGCCCGACCATGTCGTCTCATTTAGTAGAACAGCCGCCGCCCCCCCACAACAACAACAACAACTGCGAAGAGGGTGAACAGCCGTTGGCCCCGACAGCCGGCCTCAACAGTGAGTGCTGGGCCGGCGGGCTCGGTGAAGAGGATGGGGGAGGAGGAGCTGCTCTGGCCGCGGCCGCCAGCTCCGCGCGGAGGGCGGGAGGAGAAGGCAGCCCATTGGCCCCGGCTGAGGATGTGCGGGTGACTGACAGCTCCCGTCACCTGTCAGGGCGAGTTGCTCCTGTCTTCCTCTAGCCCTGTCTCCCCTCCCTCCTGGGGTCTTGGGTGGGGAGCTGCTTGGGTTCGCAGTTGGGGAGGGCCGATGGGTGGGAGGAGAAGGGGGGCGAGCCGATCCCACCTGTGGTGGGCCCCCGAGCGGAGCCAATCGGGGCGCGGGGGGCGGGCCTTGGGGCGCGGTGAGGGCGGGGTGGGCGGAGCGGGCGGCGGAGGGGACGTGGGCAGGGATGGGGACGTGCAGCGGGGACGCCGGGGGATGGACGCGGGCGGCGGGCCGAGGGGAGGGGGCGGCCGGCAGACGCGTGGGAGGTCAGGTGTGCAGCGGGGCTCGGGCCTGGCCCGGCGGACCTCCCCTCTCTGGGTCGGCCTTCCCCCAAGGCTTGGAATGTGAGCCCCTTGGTTCCCTTCCTTTGTTACCACAGGCTGGCCAGGAAAATTATTTGGCAATTTAGTGGTTACTTGTATCGCGCGTGTTGGGGAGTGGGGGGTGTGAGGAGGCCATGCTACTTTTTTTTTTTCTGAGATTTTTTTTTTTTTCTTTTAGAGTTGGCCCAAGTGAGTTTTTTGTTTTGTTTTTGAAACGATGGAGTTGTGTGCCCTGAAAACCTCTTGTGACCAGCCTCTTTAAACCACCCAAGATTGCATAAATCTTGGGAGTCTGGGGCAATAAATGTTTAGAAACGGGCTTAAAACCACACTGATGCAGTCGGGCGCTTGGAAGTCCATGTGCAGTATTGAGTTATGACCAACTACAGTTGCTTATCCAGACATTGCGGTGCTCAGACATCTTGTCCTAAGATTGTTCCTAGCTGTCTTTAAAGCTCAGAGTCTTGGAAAGGTTCTTGCCTAACCTTTCTTTCCACAATTGATCTCATAAAAGAGGTAGTTGGGACAGTTAGCATATGGCCTGATGAAATCATTTAAAAATCATTTGGATGCTTAAATGACACTTCAAGGCATTGCAATCTCTTTCATAAGAGGGAGGTGTTCCAACATGGCCTGAAAATTATTTTAGGGAAAAGAATTCCTGTCCCCGCAAGATGGGGATAGGATTTTCTTATTTTAAGGTGTTTTCATTGCTTATTGCTCCCGTTCCATCTTTTGATGGATGAATTTCTGAAAGGTTGAGTTTTTAAAACTTATAAGTGTCTTATGTTCTGGACTGTAAGATTATATATTATTTCCCACAGTAAGGATTAATTTATGTGTCTTTAAACGTTATTCGTTTCATGTGTTAGTGTGCATTTTAAACACTACTTAACTTGTTTTTAGCATACTCTTAGAAGCATCGGATTTCAGAATAGGAAGACTTTAGAGGTAACTGCCTCTGTTTACTGGTAAAGGAGCAGGGTGAGAGTAAAAGTGTGTTGTCCAAGTTCACAGCAGGCTAGGACTTAGAGCTGAGATTTCTACTTTCAAATGATCTAGTGCTCCTTTCAGGACACGTCAGTGGCCCAGAATGCCCTGGTTATGTGTGTTTACTATTCTCTCAGTATGTTATCCTGCCGTATGAGCAGAAGTGACCTGCCTAGCCAGCTAGCTCTTTTTGGTGTACTCTTTCTTCATCGTACTCCCTCTTATCCTGCAGCGCTCACGACTTGGCCAGTTGGTTAGTATGCATGCATGATTTCACAGAAAAAAAGAAATTTTAGTTTTCCTTTGACCAGCTAGCAAAAACAACAAAGGGGGTTGAGTTGTATGTGATGGTTTATCTCTGTGTCTGGAAGACCCTATGCGGTATTTGATGTTTTGGGACAGTCTGTTGCTGCTGCGTTCGTATTAGCTCTTAACAGAAGTAGAACATTCAGTCTGTGTGTGATATCCAAATGGTGCTTTGGGAAATCTGCTAGATAGCAAGTATTTTATTTGGGGTAGGGTGAGCTTTGAAAAGTTACTGAAGAGCTTTTAGGTAGTGCCATATTTAATGACTCCCCTCTTGCCTTTTATTCTGTTTGTTTTTTCAGTTCATTATACAACCAAACAATATTCAAACCAAACAATTATTTTTTGAACATTATTTGAACATTTTTCAATTTGAACATTTTTCAATTTGAACATTATTCAAACCAAACAATAGGCTTTCCTGATTCCTTCAAATGATTTTTGGGCACTGGGCAAAACAACTTATTCAGATATCTAATACCACCCAAATTGTTGATAAGTTGAAGTTCTTTGTTGGGTAAAGTTGCACCACTGTGAAACACAGAAGATGAACTCGTTGTACAGATTATCTGTGGTTTGTGATTTTTATCTTAAGTTCAGGAATCAAAACAGAGTTTTAACAGCAAATTATTGAAATATTTGAAGTAATGAAAGCTTTCTCTTTTTTTTTTTTTTTTTTTTTAGTTTACCATTGTAGGGGAACAGTTCACCTTCCTTACAAATTAATGGACAAATATACAGAATACTGGCAAAGTTAAAATGATGTTTTTCCAGTTTCCAGTCTCAGTTGTAGTCTTAAGAAAACTGTCAAGTTACTTAATATTTGTGTAGGACATTTATGTTATATAATAATTCTTGTTGTTTAATGTAGGAAGTACAGCCTTTTTTGTTTTTTTTTTCTTTTTGAACATCTTCAGCCATGATGTACTTGTTTCCCCAGTATGGCCAGAGAGCTTTTGAGTCTATGGCATGTGAAACTTCACTGCTTCATGATACTGTTCTTGAAAATATTAGTAACTGGTGTGTAAGTACTCCTTCGTGCAAAATGATTTTTTTTTTTTTAGAAGAATATCAGTGACTGTTCTTGGTCTGCATTCCAGCATCAAGTGCTTGAAATAAAATAAAGGCTTGGAGGAAAGAACATAAGACATGATGAAATGTATCTCTGCTGGTTAGGATGAAAGTTACACATGGGACCTTGGAAAGTTGGGGGGGGGGGATGAGAAATACTCT